AGAGAGAGAGAGAGAGAGAGAGAGAGAGAGAGAGAGAGAGAGAGGAGAGAGAAAGCAGCGAGGGAAGGGGAGGAGCTAAACCCTTCCAGGCCACGCCCTCAACGACCGCCTCTAACCTGGTCCCGCCTCTTAATGCCAAGTCAGCTATGGACACATCAGGAGTCTAATCCAGTGCCCCCACAATCCAGTCGCCTGACATGAGGCTTTATGGGGGACACCCCAGATCTATCATCTGTGTTAGATATAACCTCTAAAAACAGGAACTGAGGATTCCGGGGGTCAGAGGAGGTAAGGGCCTTAGGGCTGAGCTCCAGCCTCCCCTGTGCCTGTGTCTTCCCTCCCCTTGGGTGAGACCCCACTCGTCTGTGATGATTCTATATACAGGACCACATGTCAGTATTTTTCAGTCCTTTCTCTTCTGAGGAAACTGAAGGTAAACCTCACTTGGCTGACAGCAGGTCTCTCGCCCTCGCATCTGTCTGTGTCTGTCTCTCTCTTTTAACCAAGGACCCTCTGGGAAGGAGATGTAGCTCAGCCATACAGCACCTGCCTAAAATATCTGAGGCTCTGCGTCCATGCTGATCAGTGGACATAAAAAGCAAAAAACTCTCCAGATTAATGACCCCCAGCAACCGCAACCTGTCTGAAGCAGGGCCTGTCGGGGTGATAACCACTGCACTGTTCACTGTTTATTTTTATAGGTCCCTTCTAATTAAAGCATGATTTTGATTTTTCTGTTTAGGATAATAATAGGAAGTTTCCTTTTCAATAAATTTGCATAAGTAAGAGGAGATCACTGTTAAAAGGAAATTAGCAAGTAGACGACAAAACAGGTGGTGACCCTGTTGGGCCCCAAAGGAAAGGGGCAGGTGTCTGACCCAGCAGGAAGGTGCCAGAAAAGCAGCATTTGGAGCAGCAGCTCAGCAGGTCTGCTCCTGAGCCCCTGAAGACACTGGAGGCCCCAACCCCTGCCAGCAGGGGCATAGGCACTGGGTTTGCTGCTCCAAAGCAAAGTCATAGCTGAGGAATGAAGGCTAGGAACCAAAGCCCGCCCTGAGCTGAGCTGGTGGCCCACAGCCAGGAAGCCGGGCCATGGTGGTGGCCCTGCCTAGGCCTGGACACTGGTGCTGCAAGCCTAGGTCCAGCTGGGTGAGCCCAAGGATTCCCTGGGATTTGAACCCTATCAGAGCATATGGTCTTCACATGGACACCCTTGCTCTGGTCCTGCCGCTGTCCCTGTCTCACCCTGTGACCTAGAGCAGAGCACTGCCTAGACCTGTTTCCCTTCCCTGAAAATGGAGATGATTGAAATGGCCTTGCAGGACCTGGAACATCCGCATTCCTTCCTCTCTTCCTCCACTGTGGCCCTTGGTGAGGGGTCCAATGGATCTGAGCCTCATTCCCCACTCCAGCAGCTGGCAACTGTGTGATCATGGGTGAGCCACTTAGTCCCTCAGGGTGTCTATGTGCAGCGGTCCCAGCAGGGCTTGGCTGGCATGGTGTAAGTGAAGCCTGTCACACAGTGATGTACCTGCCAGCTTCCCTGGACACCAACCTCCCAAGGATACCCAGCCCCACCCACCGGGGAGCAGGGGAGGCTAAGTGCTCAGAGCAAGCTCAAGGCCAGGGTGGTGAGGCCAGCATGGCATGGTCACCTAGCCCCCCTGAGGCCTTAGGCTGGGGCACCTACGTGAAAGGAACCCAGGACAGCAGTCTGTCTGGGCTGTGGCATAGTTTTCATCAAAGTGTCCTCAGGTCAGTCTACCTCAGTCCACCTCATTCCCAAATATGCAGGCATGCATGCAGGCCGGATCTCCTCCCTGGTGTGGGAGGGTGAGAGGAGGTGATCTTGTTAAAATGCAGATTCAGATTCAGCACATCTAGGGTAGGCCTGAGATTTCTTTCAATATTCAGAGAGGCTGGTGCTGCTGGTACCCTGCAGAGCAGGGGCAGGGTCTCCTCATCTCTCCTATGAGCCCATCTTTAGGAAAGCAAGGACAGAGGTCCTGTGCCACCATTCCCGAAGTCCCTGGAGACAAGAGCTGAGTTATACAGATGCAATGGGAGGGTTCCAGGCCAACAGGGAAGCAGGTGCCCTAGGAGGATTGTGGAAGCCAGGAGGACAGCTCCCTCAGAGAGGGGACCTCAGGAACCCAAGAAATGAGTGGGTGTCTGACTCTTGCAGCAAATGGCTGGTGCCAGGAAGAGATGGCCATGGTGGCATCCCAGTCTCCTGGATGACTGTTGTGGATGAAGGCACAGTGTGTGAGGCCAGCAGAAGTTCTCGTGGACCCACAGACTGCGGCTGCTGGAAGAAATGGGGAGGACAGCATCATGTGCCAGGTGGAAGCAGGGAGCTGGGGTCCCAAAGCTGCCCTTGGTGCCCAGTTCCTTCTCAGGAAGTCAGCCCTCCTTCAGGGACTCCCCTTTGTGACCTCGTAGGTCCTTTCTACCGCATGTATGTATTTTCTTCTTGTGTACAGGCCAGGCACACGTAGCCACTGTCCATATGTGATTTTGAGATGTATGTGTATTTTTTACCTTTTAGCAACTCACACACTTTGTTGACCTAGATCTGCGTTGCCTTCCTTTTGAAGAATTTGCATTTGCAGGGCCAGGGACACTTCACCTGAAGCCACTTCAACACGACTATTCCACCTGAGGTATTTTGGGCCATGCTGTGTGTACTCGGTCCCCGAATGTGGGCGAGCACTGGCCTGCAGGCCAAATTCTCAGAGATTTCCCATCCTCTACTAAGGGCGGAGACTGATTCATGCAGATGTCCTCCTTATCTCTGTTTACATAGCAGGTGTCTTAGTCTGTTTTCTGTTGGCATGACTGAATACCACAGGCTGGGTAACATGTAAAGAATAAAGGTTTATTCAGCTTAGAGTTCCAGAGGTGAAAAATCTAGAGGCTCCATCTAATACAGCTCTTCCTGCTGTTGGGGCCAGCAGAATCCCAAGGCAGTGCTGGGTACTGCAAGGTGAGAATAATCATGCTAGCTTGGGACTCTCATTCTTTTCTATTTTTTTTTTTTAAATGTATTTAGTACAGGGTCTACAAGGTCTACAGGGTCTACTACATAGATCGGACTTGTAGTGATTCTCCTGTTTTCAGCTTCCCAAGCATTGGGATTACAGGCGCACACCACCACACCCAGTCTCCATCTTAGTGCACCCTGGGGGCGGGGCTGGCACAGCATGCTGGGATCAAACCCCAGCCACTGTGCTCTGTTTAGGCAAACACTTTAGTCTGTTGAGCTATCTAGCTGTCCCTCATTCTTTTCTTTTAAGGTCTGGAATGCAATCATTCTGAATGCACTGTCTAATCCTAATGGCCTCCCAAGGTCCTGCTTCCAAGCACCATAATCAGATTAGAGTTCAACCCCCTAATTCCTCACCCTGGAGATTAAATTTCAACGCAAGTTTTGTCATAGCAGCAGGCTACACTGGGAATCCAACTCTTGGTCTCCCAGATTTCTGCTGTAATTTATCAAACTCCCCATGTTGGAATTTTTTTGCTTAGCTAATATTTGGTGCATTTCACAATTAACAACATTTTAGATTTGATGAAATAATTTAAAAAATAAATATGACCTGTTTCACCATTACAAATGGACTCACACCTTTTATTTTTCCGCAGTGCAGCATAATTTTCTATCATCCCAGTTTTTTTTTTTTTAGAAAAAATCTATTCTCTCCCACTTGAAGGGTCCTATTCTAGGAGAAAATTGAGGCTTGGAGCTTGCTTTGTCCAGAGGGGCCCACCTCTGGGACAGAGTGCAAGAGGACCCCTATAGGGGTCGCCACCCAGTGTCACATCCTCCAGTGCAATTTTCAAAATGTTTTCTACACTCCTACCTTGTCTTTCCCCCTGGACCAGACTACTGTACAGGCCAAAATGATGCCCCACAAGCCCGTTTCCAAGTTACACCCGAAGAAGCTCAGCCAGGTGCTGTAGGCTTGCAGGGCCTTCCAACCTCAAGCACAAACTGGTCCCGAAGTGGCCTGTGGCATTGACTCAGCCCACTGTTTTGAAGTCCCCTTCCTGCTAGGGTTGGTGCTGCATTCTTTCTGGACAGTGGACCTCCTTCCAGGAAAGCCATGCAAGGAGCAGGTGTCCGGTGAGTGAAAGTGCACCCCCAGGCTCTGTGTCACTGCACCCTAGCCAGGATATACTAGCCACTTCCTTTGTTAAAAACACCTGTCCTGGAATCTTATGGCACTACTGCTTTCTGGCTTGCTACCTTTCAAAGGATAACACACAGGCTCTACGTGAGGCAAGTTGAGGGGGAGAAGCTGTCCTTGCAGGTAACAGGTGAGCTCTTGATTTGCTAAGTGGAGTCTGTCTATATACTAAGGGGAAAGCCCTAGAATATTAGTACGATGAGTAGGACTATGTAGTTATTGAGATAGGGTCTTACTATGTAGCCCAGGCTGGCCTGGAGTTCATGATCCTCCTGCCTCAGCCTCCAAGAGTGGTAAGATTATAGGCATGAGGCACCACCCTAGCAGGGTAGGACTATTTATAAGTAATACTGAGATACCAAGAGCAGAGGAAAGAGCCAGTACGGCTGTAGACATGGTCTTCTGGGACATGGACTGAGCTATATCTTGACTTGTGAGTAAACTTCTCAGGCCACTCTCCAGTAAGACACCAGAAAAGTCCACATACTCTCCAGAATTGTCACTGCCGGGGTTCGTGGGTTTGTGACAAATCCAGCCGCCCCCCAGGAGGCTCGAGATGAAGGCAGACCCTGCTCCAGGCAGATTGCTGGAGTCACCCAGCGGCTCAGAGCCCCCTCTCCTTAAACCCAGCCCTGAACAACCTATCACAACGCCGATGCTCTCAGGACAGGTATTCCCGCACGGTGAGCTCCTTCAGCGAGAAGCCCCGGTGGCTGGGCCAGCGGGCCTGGCTCTCCTCCAGCCTCCCCTGCAGCGCAGCGAAGTCCTTGCCCAGTGAGTAGGCCAGGTGCACCATGGCCTCCAGCAGCGGGAGGTAGTAGCGGTGGCTCTCCCTGGCCTGCAGGCACCGCAGGGCCCTCTCCCCGGCCGCAAAGGCTTCCGCGGGCCGCTCTAGGTCGCGGTGGCACACGAGGACGGCGCAGAGCGCGGGGACCGGGGCGGCGGGGCAGTGCGCTGTGAGCCGCTCCAGCAGCGGCACCACGCGCAGCAGCGTGTCCAGGGCGCGCGCGTACTGGCCGGCGCGCAGGCAGCCGAAGGCCTCGCGCAGCTCGGGCCGCGTGAGGAAGTCGAGCAGCTCGCGGGAGCGGCGCACGGCGCGGATGGCGTAGAGCAGCCGCAGGTACTCCCGGAGCGCCAGCCTGCGCTCGTCTATCATCTCCTCTGAGAAGTTCCCAGTCAGGCGCTTCCCGGGGAAGACCACGTCCTCGATCTCCTCCCGGTACGTCTTCAGCAGGCTTTTCTGCAGCTTCTCAAAGTCCGAGTAGCGCCGCTCCAGGACAGCTTTGTTGCTGTCGAAGCTGCCTGTCTGGATGACCACGATCTGGTACATCTGCGGCCAGAGAGAGACCCTTCCGCTGCAGCTCAGGGACATTTCCCCTTGAGCCGCACCCCCAGCCCGCAATTCTGGTCCTCACTCCCCTCTTCTTTCAAGAGTGAACCTAGGGCCTTCACACTGAGCTACGTGTTTAGCCCTATTTTATTTTATTCATTTTTGAGACAGGAGTTCACTAAATTGCTGAGTTACCCAGGCTGGGCTGAACTTGTGATCCTCCTGCCTCAGCCTCTCATACTGCTGGGATTTCAGGCTTGCACCCCGATGCCCACTTTGCAGTTCTGTTCTAATTGTTATCACATCCGCTGAACTGTAAAGGTGACTGATGACAAGAGTCAACCCTGGAAAAACAACCCCGTACACGTGAGACATCCGGGGCCAGAAAATTAGGCATAAGTACGTTCTTGCCTTTAGATCTTTGGGAATGGGCCTTCGTGTCCTAAACTGGGAAGCTTGGACTGGTCCTTTCTGGAGCGGGGGAAATGACTCCAGGGGCAGTGTAACATCATATTAGCCAAGATCTCCCTAGCATGTGCCTCTTAAGGGCACAGACCCTGGTGCCTGGCTGCCTGGGTGATGAGGCTAGCCCCACCACGATCAAGCTGTGTGGCTTTTGTTGGGAATTTAACCTCTCTGAGCCTTAGTTTCCTCATGCACTAGTTAAGGACAGGGAAAGTCCTTAACAGGGAAAGCGCATACATGGAAGCCACACAGTGGAACAGTCGCCACTCCCTGGCTGCAGGTCCTTGGGGAGGAAGGGTTGAATGTGGCACTGCACACCTCCTTAACACAGGCTGAAGTTCACCCTGACAGAGAGCTGCACCTAAGCCAGAGCCCCTGCAGCCGCCATAGCCTGCTAGCATTTAGTAAGGGCCCTTAGCTCGCTCTGTGTATTTGCCTTTTCTTTTTGGCACATGGTACTGGTCTTCCTTTCTCTCTCTCTCTCTCTCTCTCT